TTCCTTCTACTTATTAAACTAAGTCATATTTTCTATATGCTGATTATTTCATCAATTTTGGAAGTATTATTGAGTGGAAGATCTTTTTCAGACAAACTTATATGTTGGAATAATTTTAGATTTACAGAAAAGTTGCAGATAGTGCTGAAGGCTCCCGTAAGCCCCTACCCAGTTTCTGTCTCCCCTCATAACAACATCTTACATGTCTGTAGTATGCTTATCAAAGCCATATAATGGAATAATGGTATAATGGAATTCCAGACTTTATTTGGAATTTACTTTTCCAGTGATTTCCTTGTTCTGTTCCAAGATCCAGTCCAGGATACGACATGCATTTGGTTGTATGTCGCCTCGCGTCTCTGTGACTGTTTCTTGTTATTTTTTCATGACTTGGGCGAACTCATCGAGTCATTCTGTGGACTAGCCCTCACGTTGGGTTTGCGGACGTTCTTCTCACTGTTAGACTGGGGTGACAGGCTTGAGAAAGAGCACCACAGAGTTGAGCCACCTCTCTCATCCTACCAGAGACGTCCACGGGGTGTCATGGGTGGTGGTAACTGACCACTCGGTGGGGATGGGATCTGCCAGGCTGCTCCACCGCAGAGTGACTCCCTCCTGCGTCACCATCCGTGCTTTGGAGCACGGCCCTCGGTGCAGCCCGCCCGCCCGCAGGTGAGGGGGCGGGGAGAGGATGCGGACATACGTTTCAGGTTCTTGTGTTGGGGAGCTTTGTCTCTGCTCCTCCCCTGTTGGTTTCTCCCCGAGAATTTGGTTATAGCTCCTCGGAAGATGGCATAAGCAATATAGGATGTGTGCTTCTGCCCTTGAGGAGTTGAGTCTACTTAAATGGAGAGCATTTGAACCAGAACCAAGCTAGGGCTTCCCAGGGGCTCAGTAGTAAAGGCCCACCTGAGTGGAGGAGACCCCGGTTAGATCCCTGGGTCGGGAAGGTCCCCTGGAGAACAGAGTGGCAACCCAACTTCTTTCTGGAGAAGTCCACGGACAGAGGAGCCTGGCGGGCTGCAGCCCACGGGGTCTCAGAGTCAGATGCGACTGGCACTCTTCACTAAGCTGGGAGGCAGCGCCTTCTGCAGAGCTGTGGCCCCTCCACGGTTCAGGCTGGCTGAGAGGGCTCCTGCCGGCGCACTGCCCTCACGCTCTGTTCTCGCCGCAGCCTACCTCCTGAGGGAACTGCACAGCGGACACCAGTGTGGCCTCACTTAAAAGCCCTGTGACTTCCTTCCGCGGCCCCCAGGGGCGACCGTAGGTTTGCCTGCCGCTTCAGCCCCACACGTGCCCTGCTCTGTAGCCCCAGGTCCCTGCAGGGAGAGCCCTGCAGCTTTGCCTGAATGCACGCTGCCTCCTCACACCTGCTGAGTTCGGGGAGCCTCCTCTCCGCCCTGCCTGCTCCCCCAGCCCCTGACCCCTCCACTGCTGCCGACAGCTTGAGCCTTCTGGTTGTTGCCTTGGATTTGCCGGTCACTCTGCTCCTCCTCACCTTCTTCAAAGATAGGCACCTGTGTGTGTGCACACTGTCCCCACTCCCGTCCATCAGCTGCCACCCAGGCTCCACCCGTCCGCTGATGGCAGATTCGGTGGCTGGCTTCCAGTCCTCATCTTTCTCATGCACTTCTGTTCGGGGCTCCTGGCTTCTGAAATGGCAGTCTCTCTTGGTGTTTACAGCTGCTTCCTCGTGCTCTGGCCGGTTCCTGCTCCTCGGTCTGCTCTGGAGCTCTGTCCTCAGACCTCTCTTCTCTTCAGCGGTGCTCCCCTCTGTGGCTTGTTAAACGTTCCCATATCTTACTCCCAGCCTCCACCTCCTCACTGCTGCTGGGAGCAGAGCCTCTCTTTCCTCCATCTGAATCCCCTGCAGGCCTCCTCAGACCTTTACACCGGAAAGTATAAGACCACTGTCTCCCTGACCCATCTTGTTTTCTTTGCAAGGCCTGGGTCAAGAAAACAATTGGAGCATCACATACCACAGAGATCAAACTGTGATCAAGGAAACAAGAAGGGCTTCTCAAGTGTCGCTGTCCGTGCAGGAGACATGAGAGACGCAGATTCGGTCACGGGGTCAGGGAGAACCCCGGAGGAGGGCATGGCAGCCCACTCCAGTGTTCTTGCTTGGAGGAGTCTGGCGGGCTCTGGTCCACAGGGTCACAGAGAGTCGGACATGACTTAAGCGACTTAGCACACATAAAACATGAAATATACTCTCCCCTCTTCCTGAGACAGATAGACTTTCATGAAGACCTGGAAGATCAGATTCAACTTGCAGACTCCTGGGCTTTCCAGAGCTGGGGTTGGCGGCCCCTGAGAGCGGGCCCCCAGCGGAGCCCTCTTCTCTCGCAGCCAGGGCTGTGTGCCCCCCCGCGTGAGCTGCTGCTGCGGCCCGCCCTTGCGGCGTGTGCCTCAGAGGGCATCCGCTCGCTGCCTCGGGACCCAGGGGCTTCTGCGGGGCTCCTGGTGGCGTGTTCCCCGGACCGCATGCGCACCGCCGGCGGAGGGGCCGGCCTTCCTGCAGGCGGCCTGCTTGCGTCCCCTCCACGTGGTGCCTCTTGCCTCCTCTGGGCCCCCGCTCCCCTTTGAACGCCTGCTCGTCCTTCAGAATGTGGTTTCTACAGGCCTCATCGTTTAGTCCTCTCTTTAATACCCTTATTTTGGACTTAATCTACCCAGCTTCTTCTCGGGTTTCAGAAGTGCTTCACTGTGATGAAGGCTGACTGTTCCTGTCTCCTTCCCTTCCTAAACTGCCGTCCTCTTAAGAGGACCACTGTTTGGTTTTGCGCCCAGTCCTGACACGGAGTCTCAGGAGTGGGAAGTGCTTGGCAAGCGTGGCTGGGCCCCCCTCCTGCTGTGGCGGTTGCCCTGTCACAACAGGAAATGAGCTTGCTCTGGCACGACTTGTTCGTCCTGGACTCATGCTGGTTCCCGTTTCTCCCATCTGTTAAATAATCTCCTCTAGAGCCGTGCGGGCTTCTACTTCCACACTGACTGCAGACACAGTTCTGGAATTGTACCCTGGCCCTGGAATTGATCATGCATTCGGGGACCCCTGGCTCTTTTTTTAAATTAGTTCTTTAAGAAGTCATTGGTAATCAGCACGCCAGTGTATAGTTTAAAAGTGTACATGTTAAGTTTTGACTTATTATACACCCATTAAGCTATCAGAACATTTCGATAATGAATATTGATGACTTCCAAGAGTTACCTGGCCTCCACATCCATCATGTCCATCCCTTCTCCTCCAGCAGCCCCGCTTTCTGTCCTCATAGATGAGTTTGCATTTTATGTGAGAAGGGGCACTTTTCTTTTGGTCTGGCTTCACTCAGCATAATTATTTTGAGCTTCGTCTGCGTTTATATTACCAGTAGTTTCCTTTTTACTGCTGAGTAATAGGAAGCTACAGTTTTAAGAATTGAATGTGCTCACCCCTGGCAGTGACCTCCCCCTCCCCACCACTTTGGATCTCAGGAGAAAACCCATCTGGGCTTGAGGCCGCGTTCCTGTAAGATGACTGGGTGCTTGCAGGGGCTTGCGCTCCTCAGGGCACAGGGACAGCTGTGATCCTTGCACGTCCTGTTAGTGTGACTGAATGCTGGAGACAAGCGTCCTCCTCTGTGGGGGTGGGGTGTGTCTGTTTCAAATGCAAACCTAGCTCCAGTTTTAGAGACTGTTCTCTCTGGTGGGCATGAGGTTAAAGGTATTTTTGCACCTCTGTTCTAAGAACTACTCTTTGATTTCTCAAATATTTTTGTATTGGTGAGGAATTCCGAAATAATTGTGCTTTTTTCTTTAAGGGATATGCCAGCAGTTTTCTAGGATTTCTCCTGTGATTTTTTTCCCACTTAAGAGTAATTTTTGAAATATGTTTTGAAAAGGTTCACATGGTTCTTCAATCAAAACAATGTAAAAGGTGTACAGTGAGGGGCTTGGAGATGTGATTACTGCTTCTGCTTGGCAGTCTAAGTCAGACCTTCAGGACACCTTGGAAAGAACTGGGCCCCATGTTAAGGCTGTGAGAGGTGTTTTTTTTTTTTCCTTTTTTTGCCTCTTTGTGCGTGTGTGTGAGAGAGAGAGTATTTTTTGAACAATACTTTAGGTTTTGTTATAAGATGACCCAAATGGTATGGAATCTGTCTGCGATGTGGGAGACCTGGGTTTGTTTCCTGGGTCGGGAAGATCCCCTGGAGGAGGGCGTGGCGACCCACTCCAGTCTTCTTGCCTGGAGAATCGCATGGACAACGGAGCCTGGCAGATCATAGTCCACGGGGTCGCAAAGAGTCACACATGACTAAGCACAGCACAGTCAAGCGTCTTGATTAAATTTCTTGGGGGGCGGGGAGAAAGAAATAGTTGTGTCATTTTGCAAGTAACACACCGTTGTTGCTCCCAGGCACCGCACCCTTCTGCCCCCCGCCCCCCATTGAAGTACGGCTGTAGTTTGGGGTGTGCAGGAGACTGACTCGGTGTTTGTTCCGATTAGCCTCCATTACAAGTCGCCACAAGGGCGGGGCTGCAGTCCCCCGTGCTCTGCAGTGTATCCGTGTTGCCCTCCTGGGTCCATTTTGCTTGGGATGAGACGTGGCTGAGGGTCATCGCAGCGTTTCTGCTGAGTCAGTGGAGTCTGGTGCAACTGTGGCAGGCTGTTTTGGAGGCAGACATGATGGCCCTCCCCAGATGCAGTTGCTGTTAGGAGCGGTGGGGACACTCTGCGTCTGTGTCGCACGCCTGTGCTCCCGGGCCGTGAACGTGGGCGTCTGCACAGGTGGTGGGCCGGGCCCACTCGTCCTGAGGTCCCGCGCGCGCTGCCTCACGGGCGCTCGCTCCGCTTGGGGCCCCTCTGCGGATAGCACACAGGCTGTCTTCATGTGCGCGGAGCAGGTCTCTGCGCAGGGTGATGGGCGCTTCACTACTTTACCGCTTTATCCTTTTCCCAGAGTGCCCTGGGGTTTTTAGTGCTGCCCCCTCACCTCCTTCTTTTTTTTTTTTTTTTTTAGCTCTGCTTATGATAATGTCAACAAAGTTCGAGTAGCTATCAAGAAAATCAGTCCTTTTGAGCACCAGACCTACTGCCAGAGAACGCTGAGAGAGATAAAAATCTTGCTGCGCTTCAGACACGAGAACATCATCGGGATCAATGACATTATCCGAGCGCCGACCATCGAGCAGATGAAAGATGTGTATCCTTCCGCGGCAGCGGCTCCGGCACCTGCAGCCACGTGCCCGACACGTCCTGCTTGGGGGGGGGAGAGCACAGCTTGTGAGGGGACGCCGTCCTCCGCTTGCCAGTTACTGTGCTGCTTGCGTCATTGACAGTTTTTCTCTGATTCAGTTTTACAGTTGTCAGTAACTATTCTCAGTATCTTTGGCGAATCCAGTTTTTCCCTGTCAGTTTCAGTAAAGATTTCCTTTCAGTAAGTGCAGTTGTGGAAAATTCCGGTGAACACCTTTTCCGGTCATGCTCTTCCCACTTAAGGTGTGTTTGGTTATGATGGTGAACGGGACAGAGCCATGGACTGTGGAAGAGGCGGCCTGCACGGCACCGGTCAGGTCCAGACTGTCCTGATCTGAGCAGCATTTTATATCTGGGCCCAGTTATCTCTTCTTTAAAACTGAGTGGCTAGCCCTTCTAATCTTCCGGGCCAGCTGAGCTCTGAGGATGTGTGGTGACTGTGGCTGGCGTTTAGAACTCTGGACTCGGCCCCAGGACTGGAGGCGTGGGCTGCGCTGAAGGGGCCCGCACGGAAGTGGTGTGCCTGCCCCGCACCTGGCACCCCCACCCCACCGTGCGCCCCCCCCTGGGGGGGCTGGTCTCCCGGGAGCTTCCGCGGTTACCAGCGCTGCTCTGAGTCTGCTGACCTCTCAGTGCAGTGCCTCCCCTGCTGCCTGCGGTCCTGCTTTACCTTTTGCCTCGAAAATCACGTCTCCATCAGATGACACGTTTTCCAGTCGTGTCTCCTTCACATCCCAGACGTGTCCCCGCTGGCGTGACTCTGTGGATGTGTAATATGTGCAGAGACATGAGCTTAAACCCCCGAACACTGGCGGAAGCACCCTGTGGTGAGGTTAGACGCGGGCAGCGTCTATGGTTTATTTTCCGTGGGAACGAAGTCAGCTGCGCCTGAGGTTCTGGACGCTGAGAGGCGGGTGGGCCGGAGGCCGAGGGGCGCAGCCCACAGGCCCCTTGGTAGCGCAGCGAGCACTGTCTGCTGTCTTTAGTCTCTTAGCCTGAACTGCAGAGGCAGACAGGTAGACCAAGGGCTGAATTTAGTAGCGAGTGTGTCCTCAGCCTGTATTTCCAGAAGCTTTATGGTTGGTTTTTGTGGGGAAGGAGGGGGACAGGAAGGCAGGTTAAAGACCAGTGAAGTTGGGAGTTGTTGCTGGGCCAGAGGAGAAAGTGCCTGATGCCGCCCACCCCTCGCAGCGATGCCAGAGGCTCCTCTTGGGGGTGGGCCCCTGGGGGAGCAGGACTCATGCCCATCTCCTGCGTGAGGTCAGGTCTCCCCTGGGGCGTCAGCGCACGTGCTGTCTCACAGGAGCTGAGGAGTAGGGCACAGCTCCGGACCCCTTCCGCTGAGGTGCGCCCGCCTGCCATCAGGCTCTCACTTCCCTCTGGGGCCTCAGGATGGAATAGTGGATTGTTGGCGTCCCTTTTGTTTTCAGTGCTTTGCTGAGTGTAACCAGCTATTTGGGTATGTTACCTTAACCTTTCCAAACAGATACATAGTACAGGACCTCATGGAAACAGATCTCTACAAGCTTTTGAAGACGCAACACCTCAGCAATGACCATATCTGCTATTTTCTTTACCAGATCCTCAGAGGGTTAAAGTATATCCATTCAGCCAACGTGCTGCACCGCGACCTCAAACCTTCCAACCTGCTGCTCAACACCACCTGCGATCTCAAGGTCAGCCGGGTGTTTCCTCCCACTGAGGGTGTAGCTGTCGGAAACGCTTGTTTTCCTGGGGCATGTTTGTGTTTATTGTTATTCGTATTTGACATTATACCAGAAATACTTGAAAGCATTTTTATGGCAAAAAGAAGTGCAAGTAAAGCGTGCTAGTCGTTTAATACATGGCGGAGGTGAATAAGGAGGGAGGCCTGCAGATGGCTCAGGTGCCATGCAGGGAAGAGAGAGTCCCCTGGAAGCGCGTCTGATTCTGAGGGGGCCTGGACACGTGAGAGGACACCTCGTGTTCATGGGCTGGAAGACTCAGTGTTCTTGAGATGGCAGTGTTCCCAGTGTGGTCCGCAGACTTCATGCAGTCCCTGTCAAGGCCCCAGGTGCCTGTCTGTGCAGAAACGGACAGGCTGTTGCTGAGATTCATGTAGAAACTCAGGAGACCCAGAACAATGTTAAGAAGAAGCTGCTCTAGGGGCCTCACTCTTCCTGGTTCCCAGACCTACTGCCGAGTTGTGCTCATCAAGATGGGGTGGTCCTGGCAGGAGTGGCACGTCCCTTGTGTATCACGGAGGTAGAGTGTATGCTTGTGGTGCTGTCTGCAGTGACGGAGGCTCTGAGAGGAGTGCTTCCAGACCCAGAGGAGAAGGCCACCGGCTCTGCCCGGGACCCTGACGTGTCAGGAGGAGGTGGCATCGTGCTGCCCCTCCCAGCATGCGGCCCTGCAGTGGGTGAGTGGCCGTGCCAGGTGCAGGGGACCGCAGACAGAAGGAAGAACAGCAAAGGGAGAGGGGGGTACCCGTGCCCCAGCACCAAGGCCTGCTCTGCGTGGAGAGTCTTCTGGAACTGTCAGTGGCCCTGTCTTCAAGACAGTTCGCTTGTCTGCTGTCTCGGGTGTTTACAGCTGTGTAGCAGACAGCCTGTGAGACGTGGAGGAAGCTTCCTGCGTCAGACACGGCTGGTATGGACTCCGTCACCCCTTAACATCCTTCTGAGTTAGACTCATGCCCTTCCCACGTGGGGTGTAGCCCCCAGACCGCCGTCCGTGGGTCTGGGCCCATGAGTCAGGGTGGCCTGAAGGATGAGGGTGCGCTCGGGAGCAGCCAAACCTGGTCAGCTCTCAGTGGTTTCCTTGGAAAATCACAGGGATTTTCATGTCTCCTCCTGCTTTTCCTTTTTTCTTTCTCTTTCTTACCTTCACAGTCCTGTTACGGCAGATTGCTTTTGTTTGGTTTTGGAGAGCTGTTCTTAATCTTTAAAGTATGTAATATTTCTGGGAGAAGTTAACTTTTGCATGAAAATGCTCCTCCTTGAGAAGAGGACACGGAAGCTACTACTTTGCCACCTCTTCTCTGTTGGTGGACTTGTCTTTACCTCAGGCCGTTTTGTTCCCTGCTCACCAGGATGCATACCCACGCTGATGTGTGTGTTACGGCCATCTGCAAGTCGAGGCATTGTTTTCAAAACCCAACTTCACACGCGCTCAGGAGCACAATAGGATGTGTTAGGTACTTAGAGCGGTGCTGTTGGCCCACGTTGGAAAACGTCTGCGTGGGGGATGCATCGTCCACGTGGGCGTACGTCCTCGGGGTCTCACTCCAGATGGCAGTGTGGTGCATGTCACCTGGCCACGGGCTGGCCATGGGAGTGTGTCCCACGGGCAGCCCTGGGGCCCGGGGTGGGGGCTGCAGCCAGTGCCTGTGGGGAGAGGGCTCCCCTGCTCCGGGCTTGGGGTGACTGCGATGCCGTCCCATAGCCCCGGGCCTAGAAAGTTCATAACCAGTGGCTTTACTGATGTCTTGTTATTTAGGGTCTTTTTTGAATTTTCAAGCAGGTAATTATATTACTTCTTCCTTTTTCCATTGACTTCTGTGTTAGTAAGTATTTTTTACTCTTGAGCCCTCAGGATGTCAGCTCTTTTAAGTGTCTTAGACCTTTAGCTTTTGACTTGGGTACAGTCAAGCCCAGTAGCAGTCAGCTTCCTTTCTTGGCTTCCATAAACATGCTTTGTGCTCGGTGCCCAGCCTTGAGACCCAGGACACCCTGGCCTCTCACGGCCCTCCTGGAACCTTCTCCTTTCAGGCATCCTGTTTATTTCTCGGGGCCACAGAAAAGCGAGGGTTGTGGACCCTATTTGGAGATTCTGCTTGCAACGTGTCTTTAGTGAAACTTCCAGGGGTGTGTGGTCTCCAGCAGTCTTTGTCCTCGCTGTTTGCTCACTGAGCCTCCATCCAGCAGCCCCAGGGGGAACCCCAGGCTGCTAGGGTCGTAGCATGTATGCTTCTGGGTGGGCCTAGAAAGGAGGATTCAAAAGATACAAAATGAAATATCTTTGGGACTTTTGTTATAGGAGAATTTGAATTTACTCAGTCCCAAAGATAGCCAGGTAAGAGTGGTAGGACATTTGACTAAGTCGCATTCTATTTCTTCTACCATATCCTGGTTGTCTACCTTCCTCAATATAGAACTGGCATAAATTTTTTTTTTTTTTTGTAGCCTTGACAGTTTTTTGGTTAATACTGTATTAGCTTTCAGTGTTGCTGTGTTAAAAGAACTTTAAGAGAGTCATGTGAGCTGCCCGTGGATAACCGTGAACAGAGTTTCCCTACATGTACCTCTTGATTTGTTAAATTACAGCCAATAATTTTTATCTACCGGGAGTGTAGGATACCGATGGTAAAACACGATCCTCCTTAAGCCAGCTCGCTCTTCTGAAAACTGGTAACTGACAGGGAAGGACGAAACGTGTTCCCTGTCTTCCCAGTGGGTTCCAAGCATCAGGGTAGGCACGCAGCCCCGGCTAATGAATGACGGTGCTTCCTTAAAGTAAATGCCAGCTAATAAATGCACAAGGGATAATAAAGTTAGTAAAGTCACTGTTTTGCAGCTTCCAGTGATGTAAGTGGTTGGTGCAGTGTATTCCTGGACCCTCTACTCAGACTCCAGTCCCCTTGGGGGCTCTTGCCACCTCCCCACGTGGACACCTGTTTACCTCTCACATCCGCCCAGGCTAGAGCCTCTCTCAAGCCCCCCAAGATGTCATGGCCCGAAACAGCAGTAGTCATGTTTGAGCTCGTAGTTTCTGAGGTCAGGAGTTTGGTCAGGCAGCAGGGGGGGCGGTGACTACTCTGGGCTCAGCCTCTGGACTGCAGCTGAAAGACATGGCCCTGGAGGCTCAGATCATCCCCCACAGGCCTGGCGGTTGGTGCCACGGCATGGCCACGTGTTGCCCACGTGACCTGGTGTCCCCATGACACAGCCAGAGGCTCCCAGTTCCCCAGGTGGAAGCCACGTTGCGTTTATGATCTCACCTCGGAAGTCACACAGCATCGCTTCCAGTGTGTTCTCTTGGTTCAGGCAGTTGGAAAGGCTTGCCCAGCTTCCAGAGGAGAGAGGATAAATCCTGCCCTCTTGGTACGAGCTCAGCCCCAGAGCTTGTGGCCAGAGTGGGGTCAGGGTTATGTTGGCGTGCCTTTTTCCAGAGGAGCCCTTCCCACAGCTGTGTTTAGGTTGCTCACGCCACGTGGGCCTGTCTCTGAAGAGCTGTAAGGTCCCGTCCGCCTCCCCGAGTGCGGCTCCTGCTTGTTTCCGCTCCCAGAGGAGGGTGGAGACGTCAGCCCCAGGACTGACCCCACTGATCTTGGGTCCTGTATGCGGGCTTCTCACCTGGTTCTGCTGACCCACCGAGAGCTGTGACTTGTGTCTGGGCCCGGCCACGCCGAGGGTGCCCAAGGGGATGGTGCACGGCACGGGCGCGTTGCAGAGTCAGACAATCCATCAGCCTGTGGCTGTCCAGGGTGTGATGGCCTCAGCAAGCCGTCTGGCTGTGGAGGTGAGGCTGGTGCTGGAGGCCACGGGGGCCTCAAGATGCCGCAGCAACTGTGCGGCCCTCTCCCGGAGCGCCCAGAGCACGGCCCTGGAAGGGATGCAGAGCAGGCATGGCATTTGCTCCTCCTGAAGGCGCGCTGACAGGCTCAGAGGATGGGAGTTGGGCGGCACAGATACAAAACGTCTGCATGACACATCGAGGAAGCAGCAGGGCCCGGGGTCAGGGGTGCCGTGAGGGGTTGCCAGTGTCCATGGCCACGGGCCCTGAGGAGGTGGGTGGGGCCTTCAGAGTCCTTTTAAGTTGTCGAGACCGTCAGCTGTGGGGTCTCTGAGCAGAGGTTGGTGTTCATTAAGTCTTCTGAATATCCTTGAGCCGTGTCCTGCCTCTGTATTTCTATTTTTATGGACTGAGCTCAGACCCTTGTCAGTTTTTAACTGAATTAAAGCAATCAGCCTCCGAAGCGACCTGTCTTCCAGACGGCCTTCTGCTAGATTCCTGTCTGTGTTAGCATCTCTCTCTTGGGTTAGTTCCCCAGGAGCTGGGAATTAAAAGGTCCTGCAGTTGTTTGGGACCAAATACGTTCCAGTTATTCTTCTTATACATTGTAATCTGGAGTAGCCTCAACTGTTGCATGGTCAAGGCTGGCTTGTGTGAGTCAGGAGAAATTAATAGCTGGGTTTTTTTTGGGGGGGTAAGGGTCCGTCATCAGTATGTGGAGCGTCTCGTGCAGCTCTGGGAGTGGGTCTGACTATAGGAGGGGAGCAGGCGGAGGAGGTCACGTGTGGAGGGAAGCCGTGCCCGCGCAGTTGGTCGCAGCGGTGACTGTTCCAGTGCTTGCTGGGGGCTGGAACTTACTCTTGGTGCATAACTGTTTATCAAGTGGCCTAAGCAGGATTGCTGTGGGTAAGCGGATCAGTAGAGGCTGCATACCTCTGAAAATGTGTTCCGTGCAAGAGCTCGCCAGCCTGTCCCTTTCTGACACGAGGCGTCTGCCTTTGAGTTGCTGTGAGGGCCAGGCAGGAGAGAGCGTGGGTCAGCCCCTGGAGCTCTGCCGCGTGAGACGGCAGCACCTCTGGTCGCCATCGCTGCTCTCGCCCTCTTAGCGTCTGTGGTGCTCTGCTGCTGACGACTTTGACTGTCTCAGAAGGTGTCCTGTCTTGTTCTCCCCTAGATCTGTGACTTTGGCTTGGCCCGTGTTGCAGATCCGGACCACGACCACACAGGGTTCCTGACAGAGTACGTGGCCACTCGCTGGTACCGGGCTCCAGAAATCATGTTGAATTCCAAGGTAAGGACCAGGTTTGCATCGGAAGAAAACCCGGAGGCCAGAGAACTTAGGACGTGAGTTGCAGTCAGCCTGGCCTGAGGCTTGGCCTGTTTGCCCAGCCCCAAGGTACCGTCTTGTCTCCCTTCAGCACTGACGTCCCAGCGCTGGGCTGGGCTCGCGCTGGCTCACAGAGCCGCAGGGTGTGCTCGCGTCCCCGTCCGCCTGCACCCCGCCCCCGGCCAGCCCTCCTCCACCGGGGCAGCTCCTCCCGTGCTGCTGCTGCTGCCGGGCTCAGGCCGGCCCGTGGTCTGTGAGTGCGGACCAGGGCTTTCCTCTTGGAAGAGTCACACCTACCTGACCATGAGGAAGCTTCTTCAGCAAAATTGCAATAAAATTGGAAGAAAACACAGATGTGGAAAAAACAGGAGCTGCTGTAGCTCTTCCAGAATGACATGGTGGTCTTCACCCAGGTAGAAAGCACACTGCCGGCAGGGCCTTTGTCTGCTCGCAGGAAACAAGCAGGGAGTCGGTAGAGCAGGACCGTCGCGAGTGAGCCCGGCGTGAGGGGTGAGGGCGGCCGTGGGGCCTCGTCGTCTTAGCACATCACCTGCAGGTAGCGTCTGACTGGGTGTCTTGCTTGAGAAGGTCGGTGCGCCTGCCGTCTCTTACCTCATCCCGAGTCTCATGTCGCAAGGTTGAGATTGAAGAACTCCGTTCCCTCCTCCGTAACGTAATGTGTCGGGGAAGCTGTGAAAGTAACGCTGGGCCCACGTTCAGGTGTCAGAACCGGAAGTCGTCCTGGGCAGCTCGACGGTAGTGGGTGAAGTGCACGGCCCATGGGCTGGGTTCTCGTCCTCCAGCCTTGACTCATAAAGGGCTTGGGCCATCCGTTAGGTTGCTTTTGTGAGGAAATGGAATTTGTTTAAAGCAGGTAGTTACTCTTGGTGTCATACACATGTTTAGTCAGCTATAGAGGTAAAATTCCATTAGAATAAATTTCATCGTAAAGAAGGACCTGGTGTAACAGATGTTTCAAAAAAGAAAATACTGTGTTGATTCTCTCAATTCCGGACGGCAGACAGTCCCACAGGGCCGGCTCCTGCTGTGGACGGCCGCGTGCCAGTTGCTCCGTGCCAGGGGGCCTCTCACCAGCCCAGGGGGCCACCAGGGGCGCGGCTTCTGCTCTTGCGGCGTTCGCTGTGGTAAAAGCTGGGTTTGGACCCTCATTGGTGGCTCCTCTGGCCTGAGCGTCACTCCCAGCAGTGTGCAGCGTCTCCCTCGGTACACCCGCGGGAGACCTGGGTCGGGGGCACACCTGCGTGCACGTTGCCCTCTGCCTGCCTGTCTCCCGGCTGTCCTCTGACTGCCCCGTGCCGGGCTCGGTGACTCCTGCCGGACTAACCTGAGGAGCTGGCGAGCTCTCCTGGGCAGGCGGTGCGCCCTCCGCGTGCCCTGACGGCGGCCTCGTCCGGCGCCGGCCCAGCGGTGCCCTCAAAGCGGCTCGTGTGCGGCTCCTTGCCGTGCCCGTGTGGGGTCGCCCCCGCTCCTGCACGGCCCGGAGCACCTGGGGGCGCAGAGGCGGCCTCAGGCCCGCCCGAGATCTCTTCCTGCCTCTCGGGGCGGGCTCCTCCGGAGGGGCCCGGGTCACTCTCGGCTGAGCGGCCCCGCAGGGTCTCAGGCCGTGTCTGGGGCTCCTCTTCCCCAGAGCCTCTCCCCAGGGGGCTGTGAGTACCGCTGGGTCCGGAAGTGCTCCTGCTGGGGTATGCAGAGCAGGCTTCTCTACATTACGTTAACAAGCGGGCGTTCATCTGTGAAGGAGAGCTCCCTCTTTCCTCTTTCTCCTCCTCTGACCCCATCGTTGTTCTGAAAACATTGTTGTGGACTCGCGGTGGCTGTGGGGCTTTTGTTTGTGTGCTGTCCATTATCTTCCTGTTGGTTTTTTTTTTTTTTTTAAGTACTCACTGTCTCATTTGATAGGATTTTTAACTCTCAGAAACATGGCAGGAGTGGAAAAGGCAGGGGTTCTCACACAGTCTGTGCTACAGATCCCTTCAGGGTCTAAATGTTGATCCAAGACCCTCAGCAGGTTTTGTTTATGTGGGTTTTCTCTGTCAATATTTACTATATGAAAGTTAAAACTGAGAAGTTTTTAATATGTTAATTTTTAAGCATAATTTAAAAGTTAACGTGAATTAGGTATTTCTCGTTTTTTAACTGCTTCTTTTCTGCAACAGAAGCGTTTTAGTGAGGAGAGTAATGTCTCTTCGGCATTTGGCTTGATGTGAGCATGCTGGCTTCTCACCTGGGGCTGCCTGCAGTCTCTCAACTCTGCTGTTCTGGTTTGAGTTAGTGAAGAAGAGTCTTGGCTTGAAGCTGGGAAAGGGAGAGTTGGTATCATTGACCCCACACTGGAACCCAGTGGGGAAGGGTGCCTGCCCCCTGGACGTGAAACCACGGCCTGGTGGCTCTTGCTGACACCCATGCCCATGTGAGATTCTGGAACGCCCAGCGTCGGGAGAACAGGGTTCACTCTTGCCTCATTTCACATGTGGCATCCCTGAAGAGCCTCCCGCGCGTGTGGGAGAACGAATGACAAGGGGACGTGGACGCCACGTCGTGTGAGAGGAGGGCAGCCTCACAGGGCGCCGGGCACCGTCCCGCCGCCCGCGTCCGCGCGTGCTGCCTCATTCTTGCCCCCCGTGCGAGCCTCTGCGTGAGTCACTCGGGGAGGAAGTGTCACTAACTGTTTCAGTGTGTGCGTCCTTAGCGGTGGTTCACGTGCTGCCTGGGGACAGTTGGTCTCCACCTAATCGTGGTTATAGTTGCTGTTAATTATAGTAATAATATCGGTAACCAGCATGTTAATAACTCCTAGGATATTTTAGGGAGATGCCCCTAAACCTCCAATTCTTATTGGAAAGAATTATTTTGAAATTCAGCCTACTTTATCAGAGGTATAGATCTGATCAGTAAGTCTTTGATTTTCAAAACCACTTTGCCGTATTTCCATACCCTTTAATATGTGACTGGATTTTTCCCTGTGGCTGTTCTCCACATTCCCTCTCTGACTCACCGCCGCACGTGCGTCCTCCGTAGAGCTCTGCTCGCACGGGACGCCGCGGTGTCGCTGGTGGATGGCAGCTCTTCCATGTCTTCTCACCAAACTCCTTTAAAAGAAAACTATGCGTGAAAGATGAATGAAAAAGAAGATGAGAAATAGGAATTAGTCAAATAGGATGGAGCTAGCACACCTTTTGGGGGGGGGGCAGAAATCATGGGTTGTTATTTTGTTTTTAATGATTTTCAGAATGAAGAAAGATATTCTAGAAATGGAGCAATGCCCCTTTTGAGTGTCTTCCAAGTTTCCAGAATGAGTGATTGGTCCACAGATGTCTGAGAGTAGTTAGTGGCTGTTCACTGCTTTCTCATTTTCCCAGCTTCAGCTTACAGGCATTCTGATTCTTTCTCACAAATCATTTGATGAAAGGAATGAGGTCTACTACGGAATTTCTTTCTTAACAAGTGAATCTGTTCTGAAGAGAGGAGTGAAATCAAGCAGTCTTGGCGTTCTGGTGTCTCACAAGAAAGCCGCTGTGCTTGTGCGTCAGCACTGTCTCCACTCACCTCTGAACTGCAGAGCAGGCGGCGCGCGTCGTCCCGGGGCGGCAGGGTCACTCTCCCCTCTCCCGCTGCAGGGCTACACCAAGTCCATCGACATCTGGTCCGTGGGCTGCATCCTAGCCGAGATGCTCTCCAACAGGCCCATCTTCCCCGGGAAGCATTACCTCGACCAGCTGAACCACATTCTGGGTAAGGTCCTCAGTGTCTGGGGCCCACGCTCACGTCAGAGCCCTTCATGAGGTGGAATGGAGACAAGTTCCTGCAGCTCTTGGACCTGTCATAGGCATGAGCTGTTTCTATTCGTCCTTGATTGAAAACTTGGTAAGAAAGTCCAGCATTGGGAGGTGGTGAGAAAGACGGTGAGCGCCAGGGCCCATCCCCCGCTGCTGGCGCGCGTTTGGTGTACCTCAGGCTTGACGACTAACTGCAGATTACTTTATCTGACAGGTATTCTTGGATCCCCATCGCAGGAAGACCTGAATTGTATAATAAATTTAAAAGCTAGAAACTATCTGCTCTCTCTTCCACACAAAAATAAGGTGCCGTGGAACAGGCTGTTCCCGAACGCTGACTCCAAAGGTAAGTGTGCTCTCGCCTGTCGTCGTGAGCGCTCTGGGCCCTGGCTGCGGCTGCTGGGTCGCTAACACGGCCTGGTGGGCGCTCGGTCTTCACTGCTCCCCCCTCTTACGCAGGCGCCACAGCCGTGGGCTGAGGGGTCTGGAGGTGATGTCTAGCTTTCCACATGTTGGTTTCTTTGGAACTTCTTAACTTGGATTAAGTTTATGTCTTCAGAATCATCTTGTCATTGGATAATTTTTAAAGTCAGGTTTATCAGAGAATGATTTCAGTTGTGCAAGCCTTTGAATTTTAACAAACGTATGAAGTCCTGTAACTTCACCCTAGTTGGGATGCAGAGCATTTCCATTGTTCCCCAAAGCTGCACCGTGCCCGTTTGTGGTCAGTCGCCCCCTCGCCCAGGCCTGACAGCCGGGGGCTGCTGAGCCCACGGGCTAGACAGGTCTGCTGGCCCTCGTCCTGCAGCGGGCCAGACGGGCGTTCCATGCCCGCGGTGTCCCGAAAGCACCAGTGCAGGGGCTGCACTGTCTGAGAGCGGGCGTCGCTGCCGCAGCCTGCTGGTCAGAGCGCGTCCCACGGTCATCCCTGCTCCCCGCGCTGGGCGAGGCTGCAGAGGGTGGGGCCGCCTCACCTGCCGGCAGCTCGCCGCTGCTCTCCTGCTGCAGCGTGCGCAGACCACCGTGTCGCCTGGGAAACATGCGGGCATCCGTCCTGAGGCCCTGGACTTGCAGCAGCGGTGGGACAGAGTAAGAGCCCGCTTGCAGGCACCTAATCGTCTGGCTTTGTCTCGTTAACAGTGGTTCACAGGGAAGGAAATGTGAAGTCTCTTAAATACAGGAAACCAGCCTTGATGTCATTTATTATGCGAGGTGTGGGCCTTGAAAGACCATCACAGTCTGGTGACCTCTGTGGTCACGGCCGTGGGAGGGGCGTCCTCTCCCACAGCAGTGGACGCTCTGAACTGAAGGCAGGTCGGCAGCTGTGCCACGTTTCTTGTTCCAGCAATTCTGGATACTGAACTTGTGGGTTCAGCCAACCAAATGGGAAAGTGGCATTTTAATTTGTTTTTCTTTAATTAAGAGTGAGGTTGAACGTCTTTTCACATGTTTGTTGGAAATTTCTGGCTGTTGAGTGCCTTGAGCCAGTAGTAGTGTAGATTTTCCTTCAGAGGAACCTCACTCGGGATTCTCTCCAAAGTGACTGTGGTGAAGGGGAAGAGCTGATTCTTCAGCAGATGGCACAGGGCTAGTCGAATAGCTATCTGAAGGAAAATCAGATTAAATCACTATTCACACATCAGAGTGAATTGTAAAACAATTGATGATCAAATACTTTTCTGAAAATCATACTGTTAAAAATGAACAGTATTTAGAGTGCTCAATATTTTTCTGATCTCTGCATGCGGGAAAAATATCTTCCTGAGCTTTAAAGACAAATGCACCAAGAAGACAAACGTAAGTGAAAGGAGGTAGGTTTGCTCACAGAAGAGCGTGGAGTAGATCAGACCCGGCGCGGGCAGTGTGTGCGTTGCTCTGGGCCGCACAGCACCTCCAGCATCCCCGTGCTGGCAGCCGCGCGCTCACGCTCGGCCCTGTGCTCCGGGGCTGGCGCCGGGGGCAGGCTGGGCGCCCAGGCCTGCGGCCTGGGGCAGTCACTGACCTCACCGTTGCGCGCTTTCCTTACCTCAGAATGGGGCAGGTTTCACGCACCTCGTAGGAGAGTTGGGAATACAGCCCCTAAACGTTTCTACAGAGTGTTCGTAGCGAGGGGAAACACCAATGAGCAGTGTGCACTGAGGAAGCAGCACGGCATCTGTCACACACACTGTGGTCCCAGCTGTGCGAAGACGCAGAGGAAGGCTCTGCAGACGTGTCAGAGAGGAGCAGAGTGGCGGGCCGCGGGCGCGGGGAGTCCTCCCGGCCTGGAGGGCCGGCTCTGAGGTCTTCTCTGCCCTTCACGGGAGCCCCCTGACTGGCCTCAGCCCAGAGGGCCTCACCAGCCCGGGACCAGACTCCGGGCACGGCCGCTGTGACCAAGTCTGGGCTTGCGATGCAGCAGTGCCTTCCCCCCCGCCTCTCCTCTTGGCCAGCCTCATTTCTGATGGTGACATGGTCGCCTCCTGCGAGCTCGCTCCTGTGTCCCTGCGCCTGGCCGGCACTGCGGCCAAGCCTCTGTCCCTGCTTCCCCAGGCAAGAGCTGCCCACGGGATCTTCGTTCCCCAGCCAGGAGTCAAACTCACGTTCCTGTACTGGAAGCTCAAAGTCTTCACCACCAGGGAAGTCCCCTGTTTTTTGAAATTAAAAAAAAAACGCAGTTCTTATGAGAAATCTGTCTCCATTTGTCAGATAACCTGCTGTTTGAAAAGCACGCAGACTTTCTCACTGCCCCTGCAGACACATGAGCACGTGCACACTCAGTGGGACGTTAAGCAGGGTCCTGTCCACCCAGAGTCTCCTGTGCATGGGTGCTGAGCTGACTCCGGAGTCAGCCGAGGTCCTGGAGGAGGCCAGGGGTGAAGACTGGGACTCGGGGGGGTGGACAGGAGTCCTCCCTGGGCAGCACCGGGGGGCAGGGCCTCGGAGCCTGCAGAGGAGAGGGCTCGCTTCAGTCCTGGTGACCACCTCGGGTGGGGGCACTGGGCAGGGCTTTGAAGGAGAGCCGGAACGGACCCTGGGAGTGGGGGGCTAGGACACAGCAGGGAGGGTCGCCCTTGTAGGGGAGAGGGTCCCCTTTTCCCAGAAGGATGCGTGTGGGCCTGCTGGAGGGGTGTCCAGGGAGGCCGCCCTGGGGAGCCTGGTTTCCCGTAGGATGTGCTGATGTGCGTGCACCGGCCACGGGGAGGGCCTGACCCGCCCTCGTGAGCGGGAGGCGTCTCACTCGGAGCAGAGGAGGACTGGCCAGGGTCCCACAGTTCTTGGCTGTGTGCTCCTCAGCCCTGAGGCCCCCAGGGCCCGTGGGGTGACAGCCCTTGGTGACAGCACCTGGGCGTCTGCACGCTGCCCTGTGCTGCTGTCTGCTCGGGTGCGGGCTGAGCCCGGGGCGGGCACTCGCTCTGCCCCACGCGGTCCTCCGTACCCCCTGGCTCATGCCGTGTGCAACTCAGCAGTGAGGGTGTGCGGGGCATCCCTGCTGCGGGCCTGCCCAGGGCAGCGCTCCCTCAAGGCCCGGGGCTGTGCTGACAGCTTATGCTTGGGGTCTTAGGAGCAGGACTCTGAGCTCAGAGTCCGAGAAGCACGGTTGTGCTGGCACAGCCTACACAGGAGGCCTCCTCTGGCCCCACTCTGCACCTGGAGCTGAGGGTGGATGGGACAGGCGGCAGCCTTCTTCTGGTCAGAGTCCCACCTGGTGGGTGAGGAGGCTCAGAGTGAGCACCAGCCAGGCGAGCCGCCCTGGGGCCCGGCGGGGGAGTGACCCGTGGGGCAGATGGTGTGGCCACAGTGCTGCGCTCCCCCCAGAGTTAGGGGACAGCATGGGGTCCTGGCCTCCCCGGGAGAGGCAGGGCCTCGGCAGGATGCCATCCGGCCTCAGAGGGACGTCGGTCTTTGAGGGCCGGTGGCCTCTTCACCCAGGGACGCGTGTGCATGGGCAGCGTGGCTCGGTGCAGCTGCAGCGCCTGGAGTGCTGGGCGTGTGGCGGAGAGCCCGGCCTGCACCTGCCCGCGGCTCGCCTTCCCCGGCCTCCTGTTGCTGCACACGGCGCAGGTGGAGCAGGCTGGAGGCCAGGCCTTTCTCCAGTAGCAAAAAAAAGAAAAAAGCTCTTTTCCTTTGAAGTTGTTACCTAGTATTGAACTTGAAGGAATGCGAGGTCTGATTTAGGAATGCCCGTCGCCTGGGAGTGCATCCGTCTTAGCAGTAGCAGGAGGTGGAGGTTAAAGACGGTGCTGGGGAGCTCTGATTGCTGCAGACGAAGGTCGCCAAGTCCTGAGTCAGATGCCGGTGCTCTGGGGGAGGCCGGGGGGCAGGACCTGAGGGGGCGCTGGGGCCCAGCAGGTGTCCCGTGTTCCCCTGTTGCTAGTTGGAAAATGTATTGTTCATAGAAATTCATTATGTGGACTTTTAAAAGATCCTGCTATTTTTCACACTTCACTCTATGGACATGAAAAAAGTCCTTTGTTGTGTGGAGTTTCTCATCACATCCAGCATGGTTTACTGCGGGGATGGACTCCTCACTGAAGGTGGGTAGGGGTGGCGGGTTGCAGAGGCGACTCATGGGGGTAGAGCCCAGCGCCCCTGGGCACGCCGCCCACCTGATGTCTGCAGCAGGGAACGTGTTTCCAGGGGCCTGCGCTTTACACACACCTGTCAGCCAGAACCTCACGGAAGGAGGCTGACGCCGCACAGCAGGAAGTAGCCACCACAGAAGCGGCCTTGGAGCTGACCTCGGAGCAGTGATGCGCACAGCCTTGGCTTGCGGCCCTGCAGCGCGCGGCCGTGCTTTCGGACCAGGCCGCGTTCTGTGGGCAGACTTGGGCCTGAGTCCTGGCTCCGTGTGCAGACTGCGGAGCGCGCCGCCTTCCTGAGTCTGGTCTCCGCCGTCAGACGCTCAGGTGGCGCAGGCTCCCCTGAGCGCACGGCTCCCTCAGCTCCCCCGTCTGTGGCCCTTGGCTTACACAGGAAGAGCGAGGTGTTTGGTGACTGCTCCTTTGGGTTCTCACCTGTGCAAAACCTTTCTCTCGGTAGCTCTGGATTTACTGGACAAAATGTTGACGTTCAACCCTCACAAGAGGATCGAGGTGGAGCAGGCTCTGGCTCACCCGTACCTGGAGCAGTACTACGACCCGAGTGACGAGGTGAGAGTCGGGCTGCCTGCCTGCCTGCCTACCGGGGCTGCCACCGTGGGCCAGGGAGGGCGGGATGGCGCGCATGGATCCGTCAGCTCCCCCAGGAGCAGTGGAGGCTGCCTTCCTGTGGTAAGAGGGCAGCAGCGGAGAACGAGGGACCTGCGGCTCCCACTGCCCTGGGCGCCGGAGGGTCAGAAGGGCGGCGTGCCTAGGGCCCCGCACGGCGAGCCCTCCTGCAGGAGAGCCCCCGCGGGTCTCCTCCCTTCCCGCTTTGAGGGGGCCGGAGCCGAGTTTGGGGTGTGTTTCCTGCCCCTGGGGACCTGGCGTCAGGATGGCAGGGATGACGTCTGGGGTGCCTGGTGACGTCACTGAGCATGTGCAGAGAGTCTCTGACGCACATGCTGAGTCACGTCAGTCATGTCCAACTCTGTGGCTCCATGGACCGTAGCCTGTCAGGCTTTTCTGTCCATGGGATTCTCCTGGCAAGAATACTGGAGTGGGTTGCCATGTCCTTCTCCATTGACATACATAGACAGTGTTAACTTTCTGGTTATTTATATAGAGAGGGGATATTTTTTTTAAAAAGAAACTTACCAGAAAATACAAGAAACATCACTTTGTAGTCTTATTACACAGATATCATTATTGAAATTTTGGAGTATTTCCATCTCATTCTTAACATTTTTGTATCTAAATTTAGATAAAGCAGGGTTCCTTCTGTTTAACGTAAATCTGGCCGTTTGCCACAGTTTCATCTTCCTTGAGGCTTTGTGTTTTACTGTGGTACTTCTTCATAGAAAGGTGCTACGTGTGTTTAACTAGACGCGCATGTTGGAGCATCGGGGCTTTGGCTGTGGACACACAGGGCAGCCAGCCGCAGCCCTCCCCGCCAGCGCCGTGCGGGGTCGCTGCCCGCTGATGGTCCAGGGCACGCCGGGCACACCTCACATCTCAGGGGCCGGTGCTGCCGGCGGGAGCCCAGAGCCTGGGCAGCGGCCTCCACCACTGCCTCCCTCATCTCAAAGTTCTGCTTTCTCTTCAAGCCCGTTGCCGAAGCACCCTTCAAGTTTGACATGGAATTGGACGACTTGCCCAAGGAAAAGCTCAAAGAGCTCATTTTTGAAGAGACTGCTCGATTCCAGCCGGGATACCGATCTTAACGTTGTCAGGTACCTGGAGCTTTAACCATATGATAAGTCCTGGAGAAGGAAACAGAGTGTTATTAACTATCATTAAAGAGGGATTTCACTGTGGAAGCTTCGCAGCCCGAGGCGCGGTGAACCATACAACAGTGTTGGTTGGTTGGTTGGTTGTTTTTTTTTTTTTTTTAGTTGCAGCTCATAGGATCTTTAGTTGTGGCATGTGGGATCTAGTTCCCTGACAGGGATTGAACCTGGGCCCCTCGGCATTGGGAGCATGGAGTCTAAGCCACTGGGCCGTCAGGGAAGTCCCGGTTGGTTTTTTTAAAAGTGCTCAAAAAGAGGAAACACTGATCTCAGTTGTAGAGACTCTTTGGAACGGGAGAGAGTGGGGCTTGTATCAGAACTCTGGAAGTGAGTGTCGCAAAGAATTAGGACAAGGTTGAGGCCTCTGCTGGGACATGCTTGGGACAGGCCGGCTTGGACATCGGAGTGCCGGGCAGAGAGTTCTGCACGGCTTCTCCGTGTCCTGCTCCCAGTGAGACTGCAGGTCTGTGGGCAGGGGGCGTGGGTTTGACCTGGAGTATGATTTCCTCAAGTAGGACAGGACGTTAGAGGGGTGCTGGGGCCTCCCGGAGGCCTGGTGAGCCCTCGTGGCCGCCTCTCAGGGCTCGGGGTGGCAGGGGGCCCTTTGTGCCCTTCCCAGTCCAGCCTGCCAGCCTCGCGCCTCCGACCAGCCCGTGGCTGTGCTGGTCATGCTTGGGCAAAGAAAACTGGGGCATTTAAGGCAGCTCCAGCTGTGCCCGTGTAGTGGTTCTGGGCCGCCTGCCCGTCCAGAGCGTTTACAAGACGTGTGCGTCCCAGGGTGGAGTGCCGCTTGGTGAAAGGCACCCCGCCCGCACAGCGCAGCTGGAGACACCTGCGTGCCACAGCAGAGACCAGCGCAGCCACAAATAAACCAAAGGGAAAAATCAGAGGCCTCTGGGAGGCTTCCCCGTGAGCCACACCTCAGATGCAGGGGCGCCGCTTCGACCGCTGGTTGGGAAGCAGTTCCCGCCATGTGCTGTCCGTTGTGGCCAAAGAATGGCGTCCAGGAGCATGGCGCCAGCCCAGCGGTGGGGCAGGGTGCGAGCCTTCCCGCGTCCCGGGGAGGCCTCTGGGGGCGTCTGAGGGCAGGTGCCCTGGGGCGGGAGGCGAGCCCCCGCCTTGCGGGAAGGCGGCCTTTGCTGCAGGAGTGTTCTCTGCTTTCACGCTTTTCTGTCCTCCTGCCGCTGCAGTTTCCCCATGGCGCGTCCGTGGCTCACGGAGGGTCTGTCTGTCTCCCTGCAGGACACGGGCCCAAGGACGGCATGCAGACCCCACGGCTCTCCTGCAGCTCCTGGCCCGCCCGTCCCCAGCCCGTCTGCGTGTCCACCTGACTCCTCTGAGCCGTCGGAGGGGCGGCTTCTGTGCTTTCAAAGAACTCCCTCCGGCCAGAGCGCCGTCGGCGCCGTTCTGGCCCCGTGTCGTCGCCTCCGTGACCGCGGCTGTGCGTCCCTCAGGGCTCCCCGCCCACCTTGCTTCAGTCACTAGCCGCCTTCTGCTCTGAGAGATGCCGTGTCCCCCCCCCCAGCGTCCCGCCCTGTCTCCCGCGGCCCCGTCTCCCGGGCGCTTTGCGGCAGTGACAGCCCCCTTTGCACTCCTGCCACCTCACATCCCGCTGATGCCTCACGGGCGTCAGGGGCAGAGCGCTGTCTCTTCTCCAAACAGAAGGAGGAGGCCTGCAGCTCACCTGCCCCGGCGGGGGCGCAGCACACACGCGGCCCCGCCCGCTCGCAGGAGTCCCGGCACAGAGGTGGCTCCCCGGGATCGGGTAAGGGGCGCAGGCCGCCGGGCGCCCGCCCGACACCTGAGGGCCGGTGGGGGGCAGCTGTTGTACACTTCCCTTCCTCCTGCAGCATGTCAGCATCTCAAGTTCATCCTCCACTTCCCGTGTGACCGTGTGCTAGAGCCTGGGGAGCCTGTGCCAGGGCCCGCTCACGCCTGGGGCGCCCGCGTGGAGCCCGCCCGCCCTCCCGGCCCCGCGTGCCGGCACCCCCGCGTGCCCGTGCTCAGAACTCTGCCTGTCATTGTTCCCTCGCATGACTGTCACAGCTTCTGTGCGGAGATGAGTCCGAGCGCCACAAGCCTGTGGTGGAAACGAACACTGTTGTTACCTCTGAGTTGTGTTCCACGGAAAATGCTGTCCAGCAGATCACTTAGGAAAAGGCACTCGGTTTTCAGCTTCTCATTTCTCAGCTGTCCTTTCTTTCTTGTTTGGTTTTTGACAGCAGTGGAGAATGGGTTATATAAAGACTGCCTGCTAATATGAACAGAAATGCACTTGTCATTCCTGAAAATAAACGGACGTCCTCTATCTCCGTGTTCACGTTAAGATTCAGTGTTGATTTCCTCTGGATCATGGGGTCCGAACCAACAGTCACGTGCAGGCTGTGCTTAGAGCAGCAAGCCCGCTGGTCCCCTCCCTGCTGGGCGCGGGCCGAGCACTCTGGTTTGTGTGAGGCGATGTAGACAGCACTGTGGAGGTTTTCCCTCCACCCAGCAGGGCGTCAGTTCTGACATGATCCTGTCCTCAGATCACAGGTCTGCAGTGTGCTGTCAGACTCTGAGGACGCAGCCCAGAGGTCGCAAGCTGGGTTCTCTGGTTCTTCCTGGAGGGTGGCTGTGTCCCAGTCAAGCGCCAGGAGGGCCTGGCATGCTGGACTCCCCCGCAGACCAGAACTGCATCTGAGTTGTGGCTCTGCCTCCGTGCGCAGAGCCGTCAAGTGAAGGCCCGCGGGGCCGTGAGAGACAGGGCTCCGGTGGCCCTGGGTTCATCTTAAAAAGGAGCTGCGGTCTCTTGCTTTGCTGCTCTGTGCTGACTACTAACATTCCAAAGTAGTGTTAGGAGGTTAATCTGCAGTTCACTAACCAGACAGAAAGCCATAGCCTTGGTTACTAACCCCTACGGGCTGGAGGCTTCCCGCCCCTCACTGTCGGGTCCGGTGGGCAGGACACCACTAACCCTGTGTTGACATCCCTGCAGCCTTTTACTAGTCATGCCAAGCTTGGTTCAGCAGGTCAGGGAGTTGTCTACACAAGGAGCCTGTGAGGAGCTCTGGCTGTGGTGTGTGAGGCTCACCCGTCGGGTCTTCCTGCGCCTCTCGAAACGTGCGCGTGAGGTCACGTGAATTCACGCTGTGACTGCCCCCTGCCCCTCAGCTTGGGGCCGGTGGCTTTCTTGGTGTCTAAAATGTAAGCAAAAAATTCCTGTTGAAACATTCCAGTCCCTTCAGTGAGTATGAGACAGAACTCCTAACAGCAGCAGGGCAGGCCTGCGAGCGCGCGAGACGGCCGTGCGGGCCGCGGGTGAGGCGGAAGGCCCTTGCATCTGGTGGCACGTCCGCCTGACTCCTGCTGCGGCCGCGCGCGCAGGGCCCGGGGTCGGTCTGTCCCCGAGGCAGGTGGGGGCACAGCCTGCGACACGCGTGTGCCAGTCACGTGCAGACGGCGCAGAGGAGACTGACCGGTTGCTAACGTGTTAATACGGTTTTAAATTGGTAGCTTTTCTATGGTACGTGACGGTATGTTAACACACGTACATATGCACATGTGCTTTAGGCCCTTCCATCATACTTTTATATTTCTGAGTCAGTGTTTTGGACAATCCCAAGTTTTTAAGGGAAATATTTTTGTAAATGTAGTGGTTTTGGGAGTCTGAGCAGTCCTTCTGCTTATACATTTTAAAGCGTTCGTGCTTTAAAATTGTGCTGGTGTTGGAGATGTGACCCTCTTGGCGCAGATGAGAGGCGTGTCCAGCAGGGGGACCCAGGGCCTCCCGCATGGGCCCCGCTGGAGCGCGCCGCCCCTGCGCTTTCTGCGCGTGGAGCACTCGAGAAAGGTCCAAACCTGCTTCCTGCCTGCTCTGCACTGTGGGTGCCTTCCTGGTGTTGTACCCCAAGTTCTGCATAGATTACTTAGTACAATGGTAAGTTAAAAACAAATGTTAAAGGAAGATTTTATTAAGAATCTGAATGTTTATTCATTATATTGTTACAACTTAACATTTATTTGTGGTATTTGTGATTTGGTTAATCTGTATAAAACTTGTAAGTAGAAAGGTTTATATTTCATCTTAATTCTTTTGATGCTGTAAACGTACTTTGTAAAAGATGGATTATTTGAATGCTTACGGCACCTGACTTGTAAAAAAACAAAAAAACAAAAAAATTAGAATCATTAAATTGTGTCCATGTTACCAAAAATAGCGCCGTGCATGTCTAGTTACCTGGAACCCCCAGGTGAGGATGGGACGCCGTCTGGCCCTTGAGCACGCTCCCCCGGCTAGTGTGTCTCCCGATCTGACTGCTCCTGGGGGCGGCGGCGGCCCCGGAGCTTCGCGTGGGGCGGCCCTGCCTCTCCCCGCGTCTCCTTCACCGTCGGCAGCCACGTCTCTCCAGACCAGACCAGAGCAGAGCACGGGCGAGACTGTGGGCCGTGCGGCTCTGGGCCCTGCGGGGCATCGCGCAGCGGCCTGTGGACGGCGGGGGTCCCGGCGGGCCTGGGGCCACGCCTCGCCCGCTCGAGGGGACCTCCGAGCGAGAGGCAGGCCCTCCTGTGCCTCCTGGCTTCGTTCGCAGTGCTGTGGACCTCCCCACGGTGTCTGCTGAGAGGAGAACCACGGCCTCCGGGGAACGGCGTGGACCCCGCCTCGGCGGGGAGTGTGGCGGGCGTTTGCGGCACTGTGTCGCACCAGCTGTGCCCGCAGAGGTGGACACGCTTCGCTGTCGTCCTTGTCCCTCAGAAAGCGGTTCAGGTGGCCCTGCTCTGAGTGGACACAGGAGCCTGACGACCCCAGCCTCCCACAGGCGTCCCGACGGGCCCCCGTGCCAGCAGCGGCGCGGCCTGTCTGGCCCGCAGTGTGGGCAGCCGCTCGGCCAGCCCGGGCCCCTGTGTTGAGTCAGGACCGGAGCGTCCAGGGCTGACCGTGACTGCAGAGGGTCCCGGTGGAGGGGCGCCGGGACGGGGGCAGCCGAGGCCGGTCGGGGGCTGTGTCCAGGCAGACCAGGGCCACGGGGGCGGAGCTCAGCGCCAAGGGCAGCTGAGGACACAGTCATCCTTGGACGGGGTGGTGGTTCCCACCATGTCTGTCCCAGTGAGGGCACCCGCCTGGTGAGGAGGGGCGGTCCCAGGGGCCTGGGCCAGAGCCGGCCTGCAGGGCCAGGCCATCAGTGGGCGCCCCTCAGGCAGGCAGGTTGGGACCAGGAGGGGCGGCCGGCCGACGGCCCCCCAGGCAGCCAGGTGCGGCCACAGCTGAGCCTGCGGGGAGGCAGGCGGGCTCCGGGGCCCGGCTGGGTCACCTGCAGGGCCGGGGGAGGCCTGTCCCCTTGAGCGTGGACTGCCCTGGAAGAGTCCAGCCCAGCGGCCCTCCTCCTCCCAGCCCTGAAGCTGATGAGCGCGTCTGCTGGCAGAGGCCCGGGGCCTGGTCGCGGCCAGACCCTACCAGCTGCAGAGGGAGGGGCTTCCAGGTGGAAAAGGCCAAGAGGACCTGCGTCCGGCGCGCCGTGGTGCTCCCCGAGTCTGCACGGGGCCACAAACGGATGTGAGAGCCGACCGGTGGCCGAGTGGAGCCACTGCCAGCTGGAAGCAGAGCTGTTTCTCTGGGGATGGGGAGACTGTGGGTGGCCCTCACTCGCCACAGGGCCTCGAGCCACGCCTTGCTGTGGATGCGGAAAATGGGCAGGGGCAGCTCACTGCAGGACTGACGGCGTCGGGGGCTTCCCTGTGGTCCAGCAGCTGAGACTGCGCTCCCAATGCAGGTGCCCAGGTTCGATCCCTGGTCAGGAAGCGGGATCCCACGTGCCACAGCGGAAACCCAGCGTAGCCAAATTAATAGTTTTTAAAAATTAAAGCACCTTTAATCACTGATGTCTGGGCGAGTGATTTTCTGTTTTCTCCTTCCCCTTCATCTTGCTTCCTAATTCCTTTTAACATGCAAGCCTGAGGAATTCTGATCCCAGCGCTGTGTGCTCACGGCCAGCATCGGGGTGCTTTCCCGTGGACCAGCCAGACGTGGGGGCTTTGTCCCAACTCGGCCGGGGCTGGGCAGTGTCTGAGGACCGCCCGCCCTTCCCTGCCGTGGCCGCTGACTTGGAAAGAGGTGTTGGGGATCAAGGTAAGGGGAGCCAGCACCCCCTTTTCACAGACCCAAGGGCAGCCAGCCGGTATCAGCTATGGGAACGCTGGGGGACCAGAGAGGGCGGGCGCCGGGGTGGGGCACGGCCCGGGTGCTGGGGGCAGGTGGGGGCCTGTGTAGACGGGGATGGGGGCAGTCTGCTGACCGGCTGTCCAGGCGCATGCAAGCCGGCCGCCCACCCTGGGCGAGGTTCATTGCTTTCTCAAAGCAGCGAACACTTGACCTCCCTGCTGGAGTGTTCCCGGCCGTGAGCCTGGGGAGCTGGCTGACTCGGGGGGGCGCGCAGGGTTTCTCCAGGGAGCAGGACTCGTGACAGCCACAGGCGGGGCGCGAGCCGGGAGGCCGTGCAGACCTTCGCTGAAGAACTGAGGGTCTGGGTCTCGCGTGAAAGCCTCTGCTGGACTCATGCATCCACGCTGCCGGAGTTGGCAGGCAAGCGTCTGTGTCGCCCTCCTGTCGCAGGAATGTCGGGGAGGTCCGGGCGCGGGTGGGGGCGGCTGGGATGAGCTCGTCAGGACAGAACGAGCGGCCAGCCTTGGCGCCGGCCGGCAAGGGCCCGCAGGGGCAGCTGCCTCGTTCGTAGATGTGTGTCTGCGGTTACGCGC